TCAGACTGACCTTTCTTTTTTACTTAATGTCTTTTTTTTTTTCCTCTGGCTGGTTTTCAGATTTTCTCTTTCTTACTGGTTTTAAGGAATTTGCCTTAGATTTTTGTTTTTTTGCGTGTTGTTGTAGTTGGACCCATTGATCTTCTTGGATATGTGGGTTTATAGTTTGCATCCAATTTGGAAAAATTTTGGTCATGAGTTCATTAAATTTATTTGTCTTTTCCATCAGCCCCGTCTCCTGTCTCTCCTCTCCTGCAGGGACTCCAATTATACATACATTCTGCTGTTTCAGGTGGTCCCATTGTTTACTGGTGCTCTATTTATTTCTTGTTTTTTTCCCCCATTCTCTCTTTCATTTGGGATAGTTACTGTTGCTAGGTCTTTAAGATCAGTTACCTTTTCTTTTGCGATATCTAATCTGTTATAAATCCTATCCATTGTATTATTGTGTTAATCACAGACACTGTTGATTTCATCAGTGGGACCCAGACTTGCTGTGTCTTTTTAGTACTCTCCGTGGTCATGGTCAACCATTCCTTTGGAGTCTTAAATATAATAAATTACCTTATAATAATAATTTTAATACTTTTGTCTCCTAATTTTATCATCTGTGTCATTTCTATATCAATTTCTCTTGATTGGGCTTTCTTATTATGAGTTGTATTTTCCTGCTTCTTTTTGATTGGTTGCCGGGCACTGTAAATTTTATCTTGTTGGATACTAGATATTTTTTACATTTCTAAAAATATTCTTGAGCTTTGTCCTGGCATGTGGTTAAGTTACTTGGAAACAGTTTGTACTCTCTAGGTCTTGCTTTTAACATTTTTTGGGTGGTTTTTTTTTTTTTTTTTTACACTGGACTAAAAGAGCCTTTAGTCTATAGTTATTTTCATCCCACTGCTGAGGCAAGAATTTTGTGAGCACTCTGACTAGTGGCGTATGAATTATGAGGTTTTCTACCCTGACATTTGGGGACAGGCTGTATGCCCCGTTGTCTGTGAGCTCTGCACACTGTTCTCTCCAGTGTCTTCCCATCCTTGGGCAGATGTGTCTAGTCCCATGTGTTGAGGAGGATTCAGCTGAACGCTGGAGGGAAAGACCACTGCAGGTCACAGGAGTCCTCTCTATGTACACCTCTCTCTTGTCCAGGACCCTGACCTCAGAACTGGCTTCCCCTCATGCCCACCAAACATACCCTAACTCAGGGGACCTTAGGGCTCTGCCTGAGGTAATCGCAGGCTCCATTTTGTTTCTTTTGTCTCTCACTCTTCTTCATTTCTTCATGTCTGATGTCATAAGAGCCATCTTTTCCACATACTTTGTCCAGTTTTCAAGTGTAAGGATTGATCTGCTCCCTGTTAAGCCATCTTGAACAGAAGTGGAAATCACCCTGACCTACGCTTTAACTTAAAAAAAAAATATTCGGGTGGCATCTGGGTGGCTCAATTGATTAAGCATCTGACTTCAGCTCAGGTCATATCATAGTTCACGAATTCGAGCCCTGTGTGTCTGGCTCTGTGCTGACAGCTCAGAGCCTGGAGTCTGTCTCCCTCTCTCTCTGCCCCTCTCCCACTCGTGCTCTGTCTCTCAAAAATAAACGTTAAATTTTTTTTTTAAATTTTTAAGCAGAAATTTAAAAAAAGTCCTTGTCCACCCACTACCAGTCTGAAATTCCAGAGGCAGCCAGCCACATCCAACATTTTCCTGGTCTTTGTGTCCAGATGTTGTAGCTCTCACGGCCTCTCTGTCAGGGGATGCCTTCTCGGAGCAGGCCGTCTGATACAGCACCCCGATCAGCACTGTCCCATTCCCGGGCTGCCCTGTTCTTCACGGTGCTTCTCGTTTCCTGACCCCACGGAACTCACTCGTGTGTTCACAGTCAGCCGGCCTCACCACATAGGCTGTATGCACTGTGAAGCCTGAGCTCCTGCCTCCCTTGCTCAGTGCGGAATCCCCAGAGCCTACAGCACCGCTGGGCACACTGCAGCCCCTCTAGTCTCTCAGCAAATGAGTGCTGAAGACAGAAATGAGTGAAACAGGGACTGAGCTGCTTGCTTTCCCAGCTCTGCCTGCGCTGTCCCAACCTTAGAGGCAGGTAACAGCTATGAGGAGTTTGCCAGGAAAACAAAGCAGGAAAAAGATTTCCCAGGCAGCAGGGACAACATGTATCAGAAACGCTTAAAACAAAGAAACAAAAGAACAGGGGCAGTTGGGGGGACTGCTCTGGATTTTAGGAGACCAAGATTAAAAACATTAAAAAAAATTTTTTTTAATGTTTTATTTATTTCTAGGAGAGAGAGAGAGAGAGACAGCATGAGCAGGGGAGGGTCAGAGAGAGAGGGAGTCACAGACTCTGAAACAGGCTCCAGGCTCTGAGCTGGCAGTCAGCACAGAGCCCGACGCGGGGCTCGAACCCACCAAACGCGAGATCATGACCTAAGCGAAAGTCGGACGCTTAACCGACTAAGCCACCCAGGCGCCCCTAAAAACAATTTTTTTAATGTTTATTTTTCTGGGAGGGGGGGCGAGCACATTTACAAATCGGGGAGGGGCAGAGAGAGAGGGAGACCCAGAATCCCAAGCAGGCTCCAGGCTCCCAGCTGTCAGCACAGAGCCACACCTGGGGCTCAAACTCATGAACTACAACACCATGACCTGAGCCCAAGTTGGATACTCAGCTGACAGAGCCACACAGCGCCTCTGGGGAAAATAAGATTAATGAAATTGATTCCATGTCTTGCTTCACATTGTCCTAGAAATTCTGATTAACCAACTTCCTTTCCAAGATAATTCCCAGAATTTAAAAGTATTGTACACTTTTTTAAATGGCAACACAGTAAAAATATTAGCATGAAAATGTCCCCACACGTGGCATCTGCATGTGTGCACGCCCACGTGTACACCCGCCCCCACCCCCGCACCCCCATGAACTGAGTGACTGAAAAGTAACTGAGGAACTTAGTAATGGAGCCATCTGGTGGACAGAAGGGATGACGTTCCATGAGGCAGGCCCTGTATGATGCGTCTTATCGCTAGCCTTCAAGAGGGTGACCTTGAGGGGTGACCCAGTAGGTCGAGCCTTGCTGAGTCTTTAGCTTTCTCCTTCTGTGCATTCAGCAGCACACATGCCAATTAACATGGTATTTTTGGTTTATTGTTTTCACATTTTGGTTTACATTCTAATTAGTTAACATGCTGTGCAATATTGGTTTCAGGAGTAAAATTCAGTGATTCATCACTTACATAGAACACCCAGTGCTCCTCATGACCAGTGTCCTCCTTAATGCCCCTCCCCCATCTAGCCCATCCCCCAGCCCCTCCCTCCATTAACCCCTCACTTCTTTATCTACCATGGTAGGTTTTATGATTAAGCCTCATGTAACTGGAGTCAGAATATGACTTCACTTCTCCCATGCGGTTTAGCAGATGAAACTACTTTTACTGCCCCCACATTGTCCAGCTTTAACTCTGGGACCTGACACTGGAAAGGGATTCTGCATCCTATTAACCAAGCCCAGACGTGGGAGCTGTGTTGCTTTTGTTTGGGTTTCTCAGGATGTTTTCCTCATCGGATTCCTGGCAGCATCTTTGAAGGAGGAGAATTTTCTTTAGTGAATTAGGAAACAGAATTTTTTTTCTAAAAAAATAATATACCTGAGACTCCAAAGCTTATGGATATGTTTTTAGAAGAGAATCATTTCTATTTTCACTGATTGACCAAAGGAAAGTATTTTTAGGGAGATTTCCTGAAAAACCAAATGCTAGTATAAAATACTGACTAAATTGATAAATATTTACTATTTGCTTAATAAAAGCACTTATCTTAAACGGAGTCATACAACAAAAGACTTTGTTTCTGATTTGAAGAAATACGAAAATACAAGTATAGTTTGTGTTTGATGACACAATGTCTTTTCAAAAAAGTAGAACATATAAGGTAGACATACAGAGCCAGAGGGGGTCTGCTTTCATAATCATGGTGTGTGACCTCATATTTCACGTGCTGACGTTAAGTAGTTTTCTGTAGGGTTAAAGTAAGCATGCTTTTAACACTCTTTAGTGTCCTGTGATCTCCAGTTTAGGTTTTTTCCAGAAGGGTGCCTGAAAGAGGAAATTAGGCTTACTAAGTAATTGAACAATATTCCTTCATCTTGGTGTTGACCACATCTCGCTCAGCAGAGCACGAGTCCAAGACAAACTCTTGAAAATAACAAACAGATCACCTTCTCTTCCGTTAGTGCCAAGCATCCTTTCCCCACCCCACCGTAACATTGTGCTTTTATGAGGATTTCACAATATTTCTCATCCCTTGTTCCCAGTCTTGACCCACTGACCTAAGAATCAAGAAAATGTCATGTTAGTGCCTACTAATTAGTGCACCCGGAGAGCCTTTTCTTCTGGCCTTTCAACCTTCTGGAGGTGGGAGCACAAGCTGTCACTGGCATCACGCAGGGAAAATGAACCTTTACTACATTTTCCCTGTTTTGCAAACAGCGGAATAAGCCCAGCTGAGGCTTGAGATGAATATGCAGGTTAGGAAGAAATTAACCTAAAATGCACTGCTGTTTGCCTGATTGTCTTGTAGGTGACACAGCCCGCCCGGGCAATGAAATACCCACCCGTAACGGAATGCTACAGGCTACCCAGACTCTCGCCATTGTCAGACACTTTATTTCAATACCATCATACTCATTGGCGAAACGATTTTAAGGGAGGAATGTGCTCTGATTTAAAAAGTGAAGGAGCATCCGAAGGCATTTCAGTTTCTGTTGTTTTTAGACACGTTACGGGGAGACTTCACTTTGTACTCACTAAAGCATTTGGCTGGAGTGCTCATTAATCAGTGCTGCTGGGCCAGGGTCTCCTGAGCCTTCTGGGTTTTGGGGGCTCAGCTACTGTAATTAAAGGGATGAAGTATATCATGGTCACAAACTTCCCGCATCAGACAACTGAGGGGTTGGAACTAGTGGAATTAATCTTTTTTAATTTTTTGTCCTTAGGTGTTTAAGATAGAAGTGCTAATGAATGGAAGAAAACATTTTGTTGAGAAGAGGTACAGCGAATTTCATGCCTTACACAAAAAGGTAACTTTTTTCTCCCTTTCCCGTATATGTTAGATGCCATAAGGTTAAGACTGCTTTCTATGTTTGCCGAGAACATTAACAGTTCCTGGAGCAATGATTTCTTTTATCATGACTTAGGTTTTCCTTTAAAATAAATTATTCAGTCTTTTAAAGGTATGCTTTTTGAGTGGATGGGTTTTCTGTTAAGCTCTCTTACATAAATAGATGTGAAGTTACGAGCTGTTTAGGCATTATGGGTTCGCAAAGAATAAGACTCAGGCCTTATTTCATCCATGAAATACACTTCCTGTGCTTTACAAAAAGGAAAGAAAGAAGCAAATGATGATTTTACAGGGAGAAGTGTATTAGAATCAACTTGCATGCATCTGGAAAAGGTAATACGCATGGCACATGTATCCAGGAGCATTTGGGGGAAATGTGAAAGGAGAACACGTACAATTCTTTTGAATTGTAAAGGCCACTTGTTAAGATTGGCGTTCGACTTCTTGGGTTCATTCCATTGAAAGTCTGAGATAAAAGAAACAAGAATCCTAAAGGAATAACTGAGTTTGGGAGAAATGGTAAAGAATAGAAGAGTGAATACTTTTTATTTTCATTCACAATTTAATGTTTTGCAGGTTAGAAATTATTTTTGGGGTGCTGGCGTTATCTTAATAGCTAGACATACCTTATGAATATATACATATAGTATGTATGTATATATATATACTGAATATATATGTGAATGTATATATGGTATGTATGTATATATAGTATATATTATATATATGTATATATGAGTATATACACACATGCATGAATGTATATACACACACACATAAATGTATGCCATAATTCATTTTCTTCACTTCTGTTACTTTATTAGGTAAGAAGTTAGATAGGAAGATATTAAGTGAATATGTTAAGAAAGATAGTCTATTCTTTTAATTTTATTAAAGACCTCTTAAATTTTCTGGAAATTGTCAGTACATAAATCATGCAATGGTGTACTTACTCTATATTAAAATTTCTTTAGTATGTTTTTTTCAAATTAAATTTCCCCACTTTATTTATTTATTTATTTATTTTTAGTTCAGAGAATGGAGTATTCAGTATAAACTTTAACAGGATACTATTGAGAAATCAGTGAAACTGGTTCCCCTTGTAGACTTTTCTCTTAGGATGGCAGGGAATAACATAAAAGTCACACTCCAATTAAAAAGTTGTTAAATCCAGACTCACTTCCCAAAGAAACCACGCCGGTGTCTCACACAGGTGAGGACAGATTTAGACCAGATGTGCCATGAGCCTTCACAAAAGCTCCCACCCCAGGAGTCTCAGAGGGGAGCACACCTGGGGTCTGGGTCTCGGTGCCTTCGCGAGGGCTTCTGTTTTTGTGTGCTCGTTTTTCATGGAAGCAGATCCTAGGAGATTTCTGCTGGGCGCCTCATGCAGTAAATTCTTACGCTGAGATTAACACCAGATCTGCAAGCCCTGCACAGTCTCTGATGCCCAGAGTATGGACTAGGGTGCCTGTCACATGCGGGCCACCTCCCTAACCTCCCAGCTCACCATGACCTCGACACAACCCAGCTGTCCCCAGCACATACTCCCGGGAGCAGCTCCACCCCAGGCACAGCTGGGTGACTGCCAATTAGGCCCGCCCCCGGCGGGAGCCTGCCATGCCTCCGACCAGGGCAGGGTCGTTTCTTCTGTTCTCTTCTCCAACAGGATTTTATTTTCTCCCTGGTGATTATAGGCTGTTCTTAGATAGGCAGAGTCGGAAAAATATTCCTAGGCTTTCCGGGATTCTTGCCTCAATTTCTGCAGTTCTGTTAAGAAGGCTGGCTATTCCTACAGTCGTATCATCGGGCCTCCCAGAGTTGAGAGAGTAGAAATTCTCAAACGTCTCAATTTTGCGTATTTCAAACCTCCTGGCTGGAACACAGAGATAAAAATAGCTCTGTGAGGCCGAGTTTTAGTTGCACATTGACTTGCCTCTGTGTGGTAGGGCAGAAAGCAGCTGCCCAACGTCTCATTTCCTTATCCCATTGCGACTGCGTTAGATCTGGCTAAAAGGTTGCCATGGAATCTAGTTAAGTGTATATCGTGCTCGGGTGTGCAAAAACCAGAAATCTGTCCTCTTGACTGTACGCTCACGTTAAGGATTGAAATCAGCCAAAAATTTACTCAGAATACACAATCTCTACTGATCACTGCCGCATGTTCTACACCTTGACCCTTTTATTACATTCTGATCCTCCAATTTCCATATTTGAGTTTTGTGATGGGTTCTGAGTGCGATTTCATCTTAAGATTTTATTTTTAAGCGATCTCTACACCCTGTGTGGGGCTCGAACTCGCAACCCTGAGATCACGAGTCGCACGCTCCACCGACTGAGTCAGCCAGGCGCCCTTTGGGTGTTATATTTTTATCGAAAATATTTTCCCTTTAAATTCAGTCAAGTCTATTATGTAGTTTTCTTGAAATACCCTATTGTTTCTGCAGTGTGTGCAATTTGCTCTGTTGCTAGTGTCCTGGTTTTTCTGACATTTTATATTGTATTTCTTACTTGTTAAAAGTGTTTGGCCAGTGTCCCAAGTTAATGCTAAAATGATATATGAGCTATTAAAGGGTGCTTTGCATCTTTCGAATAATAGGCGCATAGCTCTTCTGTGGTCTTCAGACACAAAACTTCTTCCTGGTTATTGTCAGGCTAATTTTGAGGCAGAAACTGAGATTGTTCCCCAATTCACAACTCATCTGGTTGTCTAAAGAAAGTTCGTGATGATTATTCTCCCAATTTTATAATTGTGTTTTTAATAATTAAAAAATTTTTTTAATGTTTATTTATTTTGAGAGAGAGAGACAGAATGTGAACAGGAAAGGGGAAGAAAGAAAGGGAGACACAGAATCTGAAACAGACTCCAGGGTCTGAGCTGTAGCACAGAGCCTGATGCGGGGCTCGAACCCGCGTACCATGAGACCCTGACCTGAGCCGAAGTCAGAGGCCCAACCGACTGAGCCACCCAGGCACCCCTATAATTTTATTTTTTTAAAGCTTATTTATTTTTGAGAGAAAGAGAGAGAACGTGCAAGCCAGGGAGGGGGATGGACAGAGAGAGGGATGAGAAAGAATCCCAAGCAGGTTCCACACTGTCAGTGGATAGCCCAATGTGGGGCTCGAACTCACAAACTGTGAGATCATGACCTGAAGCATGAGCTGAAATCAAGAGTCAGATGTTTAACCAACTCAGCCACCGAGGCGCCCCTATACAAAAACACTATCCCCTTTGTTTACACTTTCCTTAGGATTTCATTCTATTTTTTAGAAACAGTCAGGAGGTATTTTTTGTTTTTTTGTTTACTGTTTTTTTTCCCCCTTTCCAGTAATTTTTACATTATAAAGCTAAATGTTGCAGAAAGCTTGGGCACAGGGCAAATAACCCATTGTTACCCACACGTATTTCTACTATCCTACCATAATAGCTACTTTCCTTCTTTTCTTGAAATTTTTTTTTTTAGGATTTTATGTTTAAAAATTCCCCATACCCAGTGTGGGGCTCAAAATCACATCCGTAAGATCAAGTCGATTACTCCACTGACTGAACCAACCACATGTCCCTCTTTTCTTCAATTTTTTTAGTAAAGCACATGCTGCTAGGCTAACCATGTTCCTGAATGGTGGTAATTATGGTGTAGAATTGAGTGTGTAGGCTCTGGAAGCAGAATGTTCCTGAGTCTACCTTTACCTCCTCCTGACTGTCAAGTTCATAGAGCAAGTTGTGAGATCTTTCTGTGTCTCACGTTCCCCATTTGTAGAATGGGAATAATTACAGTACTGACGTCATAGGATTATTTTACGAACAAAATGAGATTGTATATCACATGGTAAATTTCCAATTATTGATGGCCTTCATTAGATATAATACTTTCCATACTCAAGGTAGTTTCCTTACGCTAGACTGCAAAAGCACCTTTCTCTGTCAAAGGATTTGTATATATCCTACCAAATTATTTTTCAGGATGGTTATAGCAGATTTAAAATGCAACCAGCACATTGGAAAGTAACACAAAATCTCATTGTATTTTGAGTATTACCCCCCAAAATAATATTTATTTACTTAGCAAGCAATGTATGTTACCTTGCTGCTGTTTTCATTGGATGTGTCTTAAGTTTGTTTAGGGGTTGTGTTCCCGGGGTGCCTGGGTGGCTCAGTGGGGTTGAACATCCGACTTCAGCTTAGGTTGTGATCTCGTGGTTCATGAGTTCACGCCCCGCGTCCGGCTCTGTGCTGACAGCTCAGAACCTGGAGCCTGCTTCCTGTTCTGTGTCTCCCTCTTATCTCTGCCCCTCCCCCTCACTCATGCTCTGTTTCTCTCTGCCTCTCTCTTTCTCAAAAAGAAAAGAAAGCAAAAAGCATAAAAATGAAAATAAAAAAAAGTTTTATTCCCTGTTTTTGGACTGGTCTTTGTGCTGGGATCTCATTTGTTTTTACCCGTTAGTTTGGGTGGCCTGCTAATAAAATTTTAGCTATTTGCAGAAAGTATTTTTTTGGCTTTTGGCTGTGATATTTATTTTAATTTGCAAAAACTTTAAATGTATATGTTTTCTGTTATGTCAGTTTTCACTCTTTCAGATTCTGAGTCATAGTAGACATTTCTTCCAGAGCTGTGACGAGTATCTTATTCCATTTTCTCTTAACTCTTCTAGATTGGTATTTTTCGTACTGGGCACTTGGGACCACCTGTATCAGAACAGTAGTGAGTGACGTGCAGATTCTGTGAAATCCCCAGACATGCTGAATTAGAATCTCGATGATGGAGCCCAGTAATCTGCCCTCTATTTTTGTTTATTTATTAAGAATGTTTCTTTATTTATTATGAGAGATACAGCATGAGTCGGGGAGGGGCAGAGAGAGAGAGGGAGAGGGAGAATCCCAAACAGGCTCTACGCCCTCAGTACAGAGCCCCGTGTGGGGCTCCATCTCACGAACCATGAGATCATGACCTGAGCCAA